AGGTCCTGCCAAACCAGCTCAGCCAACTGTGACCAACCCAACCCAACCAGGTTGGACCGACCATACCCAGCCTAGTGTCCCTCAGTCTGCTGCTCCTAGGCCTGCACCCTACAAAAATTCATCTTGCACTTCTCTCCAGCGGGAGTCTGTTCCCCCTGCTGTGACTAAGCACCAGTCTCCAGCCAAGTTCCAAACCCCATTTCTACTCCAAGACTTCAGCAAGTAACCAATTCCATGGAGGGAACGCAATGTTCCTGAGACAGCAATGTCAAAGCCCATCAAACAAGAGCACAGGCCAGAGCGGGAGGCCATGAAGAGGTGGGCCCAACTACAACATGAGAATGCTGCCAAATGCACCTCTTTGGTGAAACTGCAATTTTTCATTGAGAGGGAAAAAGAAATGGAAATTGCTGACCACTACATATATTTAAAATAAGAGCTGCTAGGATTGTTGGTGCCACATTGGGGACCAGCTGTTCTTCCATATATAGATAAGATAGGCATAAATTTATTTATATTGGTATACTTTAAAACTATAAAACTGAATAAAAATATAATAGAATTAATAGATGAGTAATAAACCTTTTGAATTTTGAGATGCTGCTAACTGTGGTGTGTTTTTTTCTTTTGTTTTGTTTTGTTTTTGATGGGGTTGGAATCAAAGTCTGCATGAGAAAGGAAGGACTGAAAGTTGGATGGGAGAATGAAGGAAACGTGTAAAAACTGAGGAAAGAGGAAGGAATGTGGCCCAGGGCTAGGAAGGCCAAAAGAGATTTATGGATTTATGAAAGGAAGCAGGAGTGAGGATGAAATGGCAGAAGTATAAAGCAGGGTCAGAGATCAGGGTGAAAGAACCAAATATGAGTAGAGTTGAAGATGACAGAAGGTGACTCTAGGTTTACTAGGAGAAATAGAAAAATTTTCTTGGGGAGGTTGGCCTTAAGTCTCACAACCACCAGATAGGTATTTAAGAAAACAAGAGGTTCAGGACACATCTCTGAAAGGTTTGAGTTGCCTTATTCAGGTGTGATTATAGTGGGGGGATAGTGAAATCTACCAGAGAGGTGGCTAGGGCTCAGAGTTATCCTAGGGGCAGCTGATGACAGGGGCAGAGCCAAGGGAACTGCTGCATCAGGAGGCCCACGAATAGGGCCTGGTATGTAAATTACCATGTACTCAACACCTGAGCACCAGGGCAGCTAATGCACTATTCAGTTAATCCTGGCAACGACAGGCAAGGCCAGTATTCCTGTGCCACTTCACTTAGAGAGGTGAATGTAATCATCAAAATCTAGATGGGGCAAATTACCTGGTTTCTTTAAAGATAAAATTCAAGGAGGAAAAAAAGTGAGAGAGACATGGAGGGAGAACCTAGAGATTAAACAGGACTTCAGAGACCTAACAATCAACGGCAAAGTGTGGACCTTACTTGGATCTAATTCAAAATTCTTAAAAACAATTTTTTATGACATTTAGGAGACAACTGCAAATTTGAGCACTCACTGGGTATTTATTATTAAAAATGATATTAAGGAATAAAAGTCCTATACTTTAAATATACATACCAAAAACCTACAGGTGTAATTACATGTTTTCTCAGAACTGCTTCAAGATAATATGGAATGGGGTGAAACAGGTGGGGGTATAGATAAAACATGACAGCCATCAATTGGTAAATAATAAAGCTGGATGAGTTCATGGGTATACAAGGAACACTCACAGTATTTTTATACTTTTGTATATGTTTAAAATTTGTGCTAATTGTTTAAAAACAAGGCAAAACTGTAGAAAACAGTTTGGCAGTTTCTCAAAGCTTAAACGTCCAGCTACCATATGATCCAAAAACTCTGCTACTACCTCCACTGCTCATCTAAAAGAACTGAAAGCAGGGATTTGAACAAATATTTGTACAGCAATGATCATAGCAGCATGATTCACAATACCTACAAGGTGGAAAAAACCCAAGTGTCAATCAACCGTTGAAGAAGAAACAATGGTATATACACACAATGGGATTTATGAAGCCAAAAAAGAAATGGCATTTCGTTACGTGCTATAACATGGATGAACGTTGAAAACACGATGTTTAGTGAAAGAGGCAGACACAGAAGGACAAATATTGTACATTCCACTTACACAAAGTACCTAGAATAGGCAAATTCACAGAGACAGAAAATAGAATAGAGGTTACTAAGGGCTGGTGGGAGGGAAATTGGGGTTGTTACTCTTTGATGGTTACAGAGTTTTTGTTGAGGATGATGAAAATTTTTGGTTATAGACAGTGGTGGTGGTTACACAGCACTGTGACTGTATTTAACGCCACTGAACTGCATATTTATAAATGGTTAAAATAAATATGATTTATCTATATTTTACCACATTCCAGCAAAGGAGGGAAATTGCAGCTATCAGAATTCTCTTTACTAATCAAGCGCGTTAATCCGCCTGCGTGATGACGTCATCTCGACGCGCGGTGGCGCATGCGTAGTAGAAAGAGGTCCGCGCGATGCGTGGGCTTATGCCTAGGCGCTTGTTGTTCGGGGGCCTTGTGCTGGCACCGGAGGCGCCGGGTTGGCGACTTTGGCAGTCTTGGCGTTCGGTGGGCGGCACCTTGGGGGTCACATGGCATCATGTGGCAGTGGCATCATGCCCGTGGGCGCTGGGGTCAGCGTCGCGGCTTTTCNGCCAGGTCCTGCCAAATCAGCTCAGCCAACTGTGACCAACCCAACCCGACCAGGTTGGACCAACCATACCCAACCTAGTGTCCCTCAGTCTGCTGCTCCTAGGCCTGCACCCTACAAAAATTCATCTTGCACTTCTCTCCAGTGGGAGCCTGTTCCCCCTGCTGTGACTAAGCGCCAGTCCCCAGCCAAGCTCCAAACCCCATTTCTACTCCAAGACTTCAGCAAGTAACCAATTCCATGGAGGGAACGCAATGTTCCTGAGCCAGTAATGTTAAAGCCCATTGAAAAAGAGCAGAGGCCAGAGCAGGAGGCCATGAAAAGGCGGGCCCAACAACAACGTGAGAATGCTGCCAAATACACCTCTTTGGGGAAACTGCAATTTTTCATTGAGAGGGAAAAAGAAATGGAAATTGCTGACCACTACATATATTTAAAATAAGAGCTGCTAGGATTGTTGGTGCCACATTGGGGACCAGCTGTTCTTCCATATATAGATAAGATAGGCATAAATGTATTTATATTGGTATATTTTAAAACAATAAAACTGAATAAATAAACGTAATAGAATTAATAGATGAGTAATAATTCTTTTGAATTTTGAGATGCTGCTATCTGTGGCGTGTTTTCTTGTTGTTGTTGTTTTGTTTTGTTTTGTTTTTGATGGGGTTGGAATGAAAGTCTGCATGAGAAAGGAAGGACTGAAAGTTGGATGGGAGAATGAAGGAAACGTGTAAAAACTGAGGAAAGAGGAAGGAATGTGGCCCAGGGCTAGGAAGGCCAAAAGAGATTTATGGATTTATGAAAGGAAGCAGGAGTGAGGATGAAATGGCAGAAGTAAAAAGCAGGGTCAGAGGTCAGGGTTGAAAGAACCAAATTTGAGTAGAGTTGAAGATGACAGAAGGTGACTCTAGGTTTACTAGGAGAAATAGAAAAAGTCTCTTGGGTAGGTTGGCCTTAAGTCTCACAACCACCAGATAGGTATTTAAGAAAACAAGAGGTTCAGGACACATCTCTGAAAGATTTGAGTTGCCTTATTCAGGTGTGATTATAGTGGGGGGATAGTGAAATCTACCAGAGAGGTGGCTAGGGCTCAGAATTATCCTAGGGGCAGCTGACGACAGGGGCAGAGCGAAGGGAACTGCTGCATCAGGAGGCCCACGAATAGGGCCTGGTACGTAAATCACCATGTACTCAACACCTGAGCACCAGGACAGCTAATGCACTACTCAGTTAACCCTGGCAACGACAGGCAAGGCCAGTATTCCTGTGTCACTTCACTTAGAGAGGTGAATATAATCATCAAAATCTAGATGGGACAAATTACCTGGTTTCTTTAAAGATAAAATTCAAGGAGGAAAAATAAAAGTGAGAGAGACATGGAGGGAAAACCTGGAGATTAAATAAGACTTCAGAGACCTAACAATCAACGGCAAAGTGTGGACCTTATTTGGATCTAATTCAAAATTCTTAAAAACAATTTTTTATGACATTTAGGAGACAACTGCAAATTTCAGCACTCACTGGGTATTTATTATGAAAAAATGACATTAAGGAATAAAAGTCCTATATTTTAAGTATACATACCAAAAATATATAGCTGGGGCTTCCCTGGTGGTGCAGTAGTTGAGAATCTGCCTGCCAGTGCAGGGGACACAGTTTCAAGACCTGGTCTGGGATGTTCCCACATGCCGCGGAGCAACTAGGCCCGTGAGCCACAACTACTGAGCCCGAGCGTCTGGAGCCTGTGATCCACAACAAGAGAGGCTGCGATAGTGAGAGGCCCGTGCACCGCGAAGAAGAGTGGCCCCTGCTTGCCGCCACTAGAGAAAGCCCTCGCACAGAAATGAAGACCAAACACAGACAAAAAAAAAAAATTAATTGATTTTAAAAAAATGTATAGGTGTAATTACATGTTGTCTCGGACTGCTTCAAGATAATATGGAATGGGCTGAAACAGGTGGGGGTATAGATAAAACATGACAACCATCACTTGGTAAATATTAAAGCTGGGTGAGTTCATGGGTATACAATGAACACTCACAGTATTTTGTATACTTTTGTATATGTTTAAAATTTGTGATAATTGTTTAAAAACAAGATGACACTGTAGAAAAGTTTGGCAGTTTCTCAAAGGTTAAACGTACAGCTACCGTATGATCCAACAACTCTGCTACTACTTACACTGCACATCTGAAAGAACTGAAAGCAGGGATTTGAGCAAATATTCATACACAAATGATCACAGCAGCATGATTCACAATAGCTACAAGGTGTAAACAACCCAAGTGTCAATCAACCGATGAAAAAAAAATTATGGTATATACACACAGTGGGATTTATTAAGCCAAAAAAGGAATGGCATTTTGTTACATGTTATAACATGGATGAACCTTGAAAACACTAGGTTTAGTGAAATAAGCCAGACATAAAAGGACAAATATTGTAGATTCCACTTAAACAAGGTACCTAGAATAGGCAAATTCATAGAGGCAGAAAATAGAATAGAGGTTTCTAAGGGCCGGTGGGAGGGATAATAGGGTTGTTACTGTTTGATGGTTAAAGAGTTTTTGTTGAGGAGGATGAAAAAGTTTTGGTTATAGACAGCGGTGATGGTTACACAACACTGTGACTGTAGTTAATGCCACTGAACTGCATATTTATAAATGGTTAAAAGAAATATGATTTATGTATATTTTACCACAATAAAAAAAGAGGAATAACTGAGTTGAAATTTCAATCCTTCCTTGTCTGAGAGTCAGTTTCCTAGTCCGTAAAAATAGTAATTGTAGCTGCCTATCCTCTGAGCTTAGTGCAGAGCAAGCACTCAGTAGGAGATATCAGTACTACTTCCACTTCAATAGCAAAGGACTGTTGTGAAGATTAACAAAGTCAATGGATATGAAAGAACTTTCTAAATGGCAAACTGCTATACAAATATTAACAAACATTAGGTGTTACTGTCTCCCAAGGCCATGGAACAGGTCAGAAGAAGGATAATTCCTTTGCACTGGTATGTCTTATATGGGCCAAGAGAATATATGGGTTTCTGTACTATATCAGAAGGTATTAGAAAAAGAAAGCATAAAACTTAGAGAACAATTGTCTTTTACCCCGATGCTTAAACATGCTCAGGCAACTGCTTAAAATAAGTGCTAAAGACATAAAGGACATACCCTTTCTTTCCTTTTAGGCTACTACTATTCTTACTAAAAGTTTACTTCATTTTCAAAATATAGAACATGGAAGCTTATAGAATTTCTTAAGCATATCTAGAGCCTACTGCCAAATACTATAGTTCAATTCATATCTTTAATCTCATTTTGAAACAGCAATTACAAATGTGTATTTAAGGAAACCACTAGCTTCCCTTTTTGAACCCATGAAATAAGGCCAGGATTTACCTTAGCATAAGTTGATAACTACTGAATTACTATGAATTATTACAGTATCAGAAAGAAGGTCATTTTCAATTACGGGTTCCATTTACCTCTGGCTTATAATAGCGGCGAGTATATGTTAAGTCAATAATCAGCTAAAGTTCTTTGTTGTGTTCTTGGAGTTTGTTAAACAAGATCCAAGGGGGAAAAACATTCTTCTGGAGCAAGATTCTTTTCAACATTCTGTCAGAAAGAATAAAATAAGAAAGAGCATGCATTTAATGTCCTTTATTATATTATCCATTTATTCAAACCCTGTGATGCTAACATATGAGATTCAAAGTAAAGTTTCTTCCTCTGGAGTTTACAAGCGGTATTACGATCCTTTCTTCCAGAGAGATTAGACGGAAGAAAATAAGCTCACTTCTATATATTTATTTCTATGTTTCTTTATTTCATGTTGGTCTCCTAACCAGACTGTAAACTCTGAGAAGGCAGGGACTACATCAATTTTGCCTACCGCTGTACTGTCAGCTCCAAGCAGAGTGCCTGTAAATAGACACATAAATAAATACTTCTTGAATATCTACCTATATGAAGGATGGCTTTCACTGCTAAATATTCTTTTATGTATTTGGCTTATTTATGTACTCTGTTCGACTGATCTGTTTGGTTATTCAAGTGCCAGCAACACACTTTTCTTTTTAAATTAGTAGACTAGTTTTAGAGCAGTTTGAGATTCACAGCAAAGCTGAGCCAAAAGTACAGAGTTCCCACTTATACTCTCTCTCCTTCAAACCACACAGCATTCCCCATTATCAACATGCCATACCAGTGTGCTTCCTTTGTGAGAATTCATGAACCAACACTGACACATCATTATCAATCAAAGTCCATAGTTTATTGCATTCATGGTAAAAGTAACTGGCTATTCCTTTATTTCTAGTATAGTCATCCCCAAACATTTACATACTGAGATACATATTACTTTCTTATAAATTACTTTATTCTTCATTTATAGTTAGGGCATTCCATTGGTTTTGTTTTTAATTAAGTTCAAAAGTAGGTTGTATTTATCTATGAATTCCATTTCTGGATAGTAAAGGAGGTATTAAAAAGTATTTGCTATAAAAAGGGAAAATGGGGTATGACAGGGTTGAGAGCCAGGGCTCTATATGGTGAATTCAGATTTCTGGAAGAATACGGTATTAAGTTTTGCTTACCTTTTTTAAAGGAACTTTGAAAGCAATGAAACGAGTCCGACGCCTCCACTGTCCAAATGGGAGATAGTCTTTCCACCTATTAATATATTTTTTGTTAGGCAAATTTTATGTTAGGCTGTCTCCCTGCATAGGAGGAATGCGACTTGAAAATGGAAATCATATCCCTCTATAGTAGGTCCCTCTTCTTTCTGCTTTGCACTTTGCTGCTCCACTTATTCAACCCCACCTAGTAATAACCTATACTTCCAGTGTTCCTGTTTTCCCATCTTGAAAACAGATAAAAGGCAACAAAACAATGCAAAGGTCTCAAAAAATTAGGGATATCTAAAACCAGAGATGGCCAGAACTTCTGTATCCCTGATAGAACCTAGCCCAGTGTTGACTACCAAGGTATCATTAATACATGCATGTTGACTGAAATAGTTTGAACTCAATTCTTCCCCTTAACAGTTTAGTTTTTGTCCTCATACAAAACCTGATAAGAAAATTCCTTAATGCTAGGAATCACAGTGAAAAATAATATCTGAACTGACTTCTGTAAGATAGGTTAGAACTAAGGTTAATTCAGTGTATCTGAAGCATAGAAAGTTAGGGCAATAGTGGCACAATATGGGGCTAGAGAAGCAGAGAGGATTCTAGACCACGCAGAGTGTTAAAGGCCAACAGTTTGTTTTCTATTCTCAAAACAATGCTTTTGAGCAATGTTTATGAGCAATGTTCCAACTTGCTTTTAAGGTTTCTTGTGTGAAGACTGGATTGGAAGGAAACAAGAAATATGGACACTACTTAGGACCTAATTGCAACAGACAGGCAAGTTCAGTATTAGGATGTTGAGGAAGAGGTGATAGATGCAAAAGAAATTCAGGAGATAAACTGAATCGGGCTTAATAGGGTATGAGATGGAGAAAAGGAAGGTCTTAGGGAATTAAGGGGCTTA